TTCATTTTGTTGGGGACAATAAGGAAAAATATTCCATATCTTCACATGTTTGTTCACCACCACGACCAGATCTGAGAGTCTTCGGCTTTTTTCCAAACATAGTTTTCATCATTTCAATAAATTGTTTCGTCTTCTCGAATACTTCTGATTTTTTATGAAGTAAATATACGAATGTGTATTTACTGAAATCATCGATGAAGGTAATGAAGTACTCTTGTCCTCTAGGTGTTTCTGTTCGCATCGGGCCAAAAACATCAGTATGGATTAAGTCTAGTATCTTTCCAGATCTATCCCTGCACTGACTTATTTGAGAATGGAGTCCGATACATATTTCCCCTAATTCAAGTTTTACATATAGAATTGCAATCATTGCAGTTACCAACTTGTATTCCTGGGGCCAAATCTTTTTCGCACGAAGATTTTATAGCTTCCATGTCATGATGACCTAATCTTCTATGCCATGCATGAATACAGTTCTGAAGAGAATTGTCCCCAACTATTGATATACCTTCTCTTTTCTGTCTGATTGTTCCGCTTCATCTGCCATATGATGATAATTTCATTCCATTTGCCACAAATACGTCTTCTGTTATGGAAGAATCTAATTCTGAGAAAAAGTTCTATTGTTTGCTATGTGACATGTAGCACCAGAGTCGACGTACCAACTGTTTTCATCCCGATTCTGTTTGAAGAAGAAAACCTATTCATCGACATCATCTTCCGTTGTCACTTCGCATTGTGCTTTATGTTGGTTCTTATATTCTTCTTCTGTTGCTGATTTCTTGCTCATCCATTTTTTATATTTTCAGCAGTCCTTTTTAAGATAACCATTTTGATGACAGAATCCGCAGCTTATAGTATAGGACTTTGATCCAGAGCTTGATATCCTCATTGCCATTTCTTTGCCTTCCTGATTGTGTCTTTATCTGGACGATTCATCAATAAGTTTCGATTTAACGAAATCGAATGTGAGTTCATCGTCTTTTCGAGTTTCCAAGGCTGTGATCAAGATTGTCATATTCGCCAGGCAAACTGTTTAGTAAGAATGCAACGATCCATTGCCCGGTAAATAAATCTTCTCCCATAGCTTTGAGTTTGTCTACATACTCAAATCATTTTAGCAATGTGCTCTTCTATATTACAATTTGTACTCAATTGCATTCGGCAAATTTTCCACATGAAATAGACTCTATTTGTAAGTGTGGATTGCTGATGCTACTTCCTCAGGCTTTCCCACGCATCTCTGGCTGTTTTTGCAGATCTTATATGAGTTATCGGGTTGTCTTCAATAAGAAGACCAATATTTGCATAGGTCTGTGCGTCTTTCTTCTTCCATTCAGCGGTTTGTTGGTCTATCGTCGGCAAAGGACTCTCTATTACATTCCAACATCCTTCTTTAGTGAAAAATAAATTCAATTTGGAGTTCCAGTTGAGATAGTTTTCACTGCTAAATTTTGCAATCGTAGTTGTGAATTTATCAACCATATTTCACAATGATAGTGTACCTGGGCCGATAACTTGGAATATTATAATATTGATGAATATACAGGCCAAATAAGTATAAAACTAACTTGACTGAATCAGATTATATTTCAAAGAATTATAATGACATATATCACTCAACATCAACAAACTTGATAATTATAGAATATAATAAGTTACTGGGTGAGTCATCATTGTATCTTGATTTTCAATACTATAATCTACTCTACTCTACTCTACTCTAATCTGCTCTACTCTTCTCTACTCTACTGTACTCTACTCAACTCTACTCAACTCTACTCTACTCTACTATACTCTACTCTACTCCACTCTACTCTATTACACTATACTCTATTCTTTTTCACTCTACTCTACTCTTCTCTACCGTACTTTATTATACTCTACTCTTCTCTAGTCAACTCTACTTTACGCTACTTCATTCTACTCTTCTCTCCTCTTCTCTGCCCTACTCTACTCTATTCTACTTCACTCTTCTCTACTTTACTCTACTCTACTTCACTCTACCTACTGTACTCTACCGTTACCACCGATACAACAAGGCCTGCATGCTCCGTGGGTGACGTCACTTAGTGAGTAGCTATAAGGCGACCGCGTATTTCGATTTTAGTTTTGGATCATCATTGAGCCGATTTTACTGTTTTTTGAAGGGCTTCCGGTTAAAAAAGGATGCCAGTCGTCAACTGAGCCCTTCTTCGCACCCCATTCGATTTTATTATGGAAAAACGTTTTATAGCAAAAACCAGGAAAAAACACAAATATCCACCTACAGCAACCCATTCGAATTAAATATATTGGCAAAAATTGTGGTGAAGGTAAACTTCACACCTACTTATACAGGGTCCGCAGAACATGAACTTATCGTGAGATTGATCGAAAGAAAATTGTGGAAAATGTGTTTATTTTGATTGACATGCCGTTTGTTACAATTACCTATATTTATCTTGGAGAATTCCTATTACCTGAAAAAATAACCAGTGAGTGTTTTCAATTTTCTGTTGTTGGATTTTTCACCCAAGTGGATCGTTACACTTGAAACCGTAATTTTTAAGGGTAAATCTGCATTTATCATGCGATGTTTTTTTTTGAAAATTTTTTTCGGTACTCACGAATTTTTGTCTGATAAACCGAATTTTATAATGAAAATGTGAACAAACCACTATTTATTGAGATATTTCAAGAAAAAGTTCGAAATTTTGCCTTCTTTCTCCCCTTGTGTTGGGGGCATTTGAAGCTACTTGCTCTTATTTTGTCATTGGACACTTTATATACTCATGATGTACTTCGATGGCACATTTTTATATAGAAAATTCAACAAGAAATATGATTTTTATGGCGAAATTTTCATATTTAGTGAACAAGCATTCCAGATGACGACCATTTAATCAATAGTCAATCAAAATACGAGATGTCAAATGTCAATAGATTGCTTTCGAATGACATTACACACGCCATTATTTTGAATGATATTCTTTCTTCTTTTCACTAAATATGGATTAATCTCAAGAAAATCATATTTATAGTTGAATTATATATAAATTGTCCAATATGATGAAAAAATAAGGGAAATTTGTTCTAAATGCCATCCAGAAGACAGGTGAAAAAGAAGGTGAAATTTGGAACTTTTTAGTCAAATATCTTCATGATAAATATCATGATAAATGCAGTTTCACCTTTTTAAGTAGAGTGTTTGTAGTTCATGTTAATATGATAGTTGCAATTTGATCATTGGAATGAATTCTGCATTCATTGTCACGAGGAAAATGACCGTTTTCAGAAAGAAATTTGAGAATGAGAATTAAAAATGCCCGTTTATTATGAACATTCAAGAAAATTTCCTCGAATTCAGAGATGATTTTGTTGACTATAATATACGAATACAAAACTAACTGCACAATCAAAGCTTTTCTATTTTTCCTCTACTTATACTTTTTATGAGAGAGTAATTATCTTCTATTATTATCAATTCATCATTATAAATCAAGCTCTGTTTACTACTGAACTTAGATGGAGTAAAATCCTCGCGGTGAATTGCATATACCCACATTTTCGATAGCTCCTCGTCCAACGGGAAACTAGAAGCATGAACTTCTGAACCACCCACATAATTCCCCCGACAAAAGGGAACACAACACTTGAAAGGCATTGTTATTTCGCCGATCACAACACAAAATATTTCACAAAACAGTAATTTTTCCGCCAATTATTTTGATGAATAAACAACAAAAGAATTCGGGACCGTTTCAAAAACATACGTGAATCACCGATGAATTAACACGAACTGACGCGTTAGTCGACAAGCGATAAAATAAAACATTGGCCTCTCTTGGTGACGTCACGAGCTGTTTACGTCAGAGTCTGCTGGCCTTGTTGTATCGGTGGTAACGACTCTACTCTACTCTCCTCTGCGAAATGTTTCAACAACAGACGATTTCACGCCTTTCGCTTTCTTTGTAACACCTATATTCATTATAAATTATTAATCTCGTCCTCATCGTAATCTCCCTCCCGTAACTTCGCCCTCTTCTTCGCAATATCATCATCAGTTACCAGCACCTTTGTAGAGTATAATTTTGATCCTAGACCTACATATTCCATCATTATAACAGAACAATTCTCATCTTTCATCATTTCTAGAACCCCCTTGTTCACCTGAGGAATTCCATGAATATTATCTTTAGGATAGTCAGACGTATCGAAGTGGGTGTGTCAATTTCGCCCCATAACTTCAAACGGATTTTTATGGAGCTCATAGATGAGGGGGTCTGTGTCGGTGTAGCAAGCAGAACAATCATTATCAAATTCTTTCACCATATAATCGTAATGGAAGCCATATATAGTAGTTTTGGCTAAATCGAGAATAAATTGACCAACGTAAATGGGCTTATGGAGATATATTTCAAGTTTTTTCAGCTCCACAGCAACCAAATTCTCGTTGAATATAGTACAGTTCTTAAACTCTGGCTTTGAAGTCCATGCTTCAGCGCCATATCTTCCTTCCCATTTAGTTAGAAGCTTAACGTTACCTCTCTTCCGGATGTTTTCCATAGTCTTTTCAAAGACAGCGTTATTCATTAGCTCGAATACATTTTTCTCGAATTCATTTTTAGCAGCCTTTCTCAGACTCGTATTCAGATCAATATATGATTTGAGCCATGTGAATTGCCGAAATTTGAGCACTTGATGAATTTTTGTCAGGACCAACCCATGCTCCAGCGCTTGTTTGAGGGCTCGGTAGGGGATGACGTACTTATCCTTATAATTGAGTGTTGCCATCAGCTTGGTGGGTTGAGAAGATCTCGTAAGTGGTTTCATAGTTTTTGGATTGATGTGTTCTGAGCAGGTAAAGATAGGTCTTTGTGGGAATCATGAAAGTGTCGTGGGTATTCTAGGTCAACTTCTGAAAAGTATACTTCTGAAGCATCATCAGCAACGGTTGTAACATCAAGATCTGTATCGGCCCATTCAAATCCTCCAGATGGTAATGCCTGAGACATAGCTCAACCGTACTGGTTGTTCACGTCAAAGTACATTGAATATGAATCAGGCTTTATTGAATCATGATTTGGCATGAACTTGTTGTTTGCCTTAGCTCTTCGTTTCAAACAAATGTGGCTGAGACCTCCACGAATTCCTCGTTCAACGAACAGAAACATATCCACATCCGTAATCAGCTCCTGTTCTTGGTTGGTTTTATATAGCATAGCATCCCAAGTGAATCCTGGTAGGGTGTAATAGTGTGTAGGATCGAGGCCATAAGTGTTGTGGTAGCTGGAGCGAAATTTTTCGAAAACATCGTTCAACAGCATGAGGTCAGTATTCATGTAGATGTCAACATATTGTCCCAAGTCTCGACAGCTGAATTTCGAACAAACCATCTTGGCTCTCAGATAATGTCTGCGTGGACAGGGTTTTTCATTCAGTTTGTTGTAGAAAGCATCAATTGGTGTTATCTGCGTTTCGTTGAAGCGTTGACACGAGTCGATGTAATCATACGGCATCACACCTTTATTATCTAGAAGCTGGAGCTGATCTTTGGTGATGTTAGAGAATTGAGACCCCAAGTTCGGAAATTCCTCTAGATATGATGCCAACATATCCAGAGGAGAATTTATAAATCGGAAGCTGTCGATGAAGCGGAAGCCTATTCGTAAATCTTCATTGTATTTGGTGAAGGAAATTTATTTTTCTTTGGTGATTGGCAACAAATCAACTCGACCCTGCATTTTAGATGTTATATGCTCAATGATGATATTTGCATCATATCCACTCAGATTGTGGAACACAACAGGCACCACATGGCTGTCCTGGTTCCGAATATTACAGATTTCATGCGCTGGACCTCTATAATTTTTTTCCGGAATGAGATGAGTATGGTCGCGAACTTTCTTATCATCAGGTCCGAAAGGTTGTTCACGAATGTGGCAGTATATGTTGCTTTTCTGAATTCTGCTTCCTGCTCAGCGGTCATGTCGATGTTGTATGGACATAAAAATACCGGAGACATATCCTCAGCCAACTGGTTGAGCTCATCAGCGAACCACGCCATACAGTCCTGCCCTCGGTATGAGCGATAAAATGAAAGATAATCGTCATATGAACATTTCATAAAGTATCCTACAGCAGCTGGAACGTGGAGCTGAGCCTTCTTAGAATCAGCAGTCTTCATCAAAACAGACTCAAGATCAGCATATACCATGAATGGAGCTTTCTCTTTGTTCTAATGGTTCTTGAATTTCAGAATATTCTTGCTCTCTTCCGGCATTCTGATTGCAGTATCATTCATTCTTACGGAATTCTCAACATGTTTATAGAGTTTTTCGGCGGTGCGGAGGTAATGGAGACAGCGGTCGCAGAAGAATTTACGTCCATTATCATCGCCCAGCTGAGAAGATAGCAGTCTGGACAGATCCTTTATCCAACAATAGTGGTACTTGATAGGGGATGAAAGCTTTTCGCAAGCATCTTTTTCATTGAAGTATTGATCCTGGATGAGTAGAAGATTGATATGTCTGTCATTAATTTCCTTCATCAAGTATGTAGGAAGAGTCTGCAAGTTTTTGGATTTCTTCTGTAGGATATAGAGATTTATTGATACGTCATTTTGTTTTTCAAAGCGAGGAAACTGCTTGACTGTCATAGGAAACGGAATGCGCTTGAGGTTCAATACAGTAGACGGATGAGGATACGAGAATGTTCGATCACTATTTCCCAATCAGCAGGATACAAAGCCGATGTTACTGCCCAAGCAAAAAAACATAATTCATTTTCGTTTTTGACGTTGATACAAGCTTGTTTCTGCTTTATCTGAGTGGGTGATTCAATGTTGGAAGATTCAAGTTGGGGAGTTAACTTGTTGATGATCACCCCCAGATTAATCATGTTCTTCAGCACCCAGCCTGAATCTCTTTCCTGGAATTCCTCTAACTCGACAAGAATAGGTCTTGAGATTTCATCGTTGAACCACACATTCAAATCGGTATCCTTGTAGATAGGAGAATTCGAAGTAGTAAAGTACTTGTACTCCCTAAGCACACTTTCACAATTTCTAACTCTCCGCAGAAAACTGAATTGACCTTGACTGCAACATATTTCCTGAGAGCGTTCTGAATACGTATTCTGAATAGAGCTCGGCAATCAGTCAAAAAGGCTGCAGGATCCGTGTGCTTCAAGTTTGAGATTACTCCAGTTCGAATCTTGCTATTGAAAGCAGACAGAGAATCTGCCCAGCGAACTTTATCCCGTGCAGTTTCCTTTCTTGATATAATTCCAGATCCCTTTTTTTGAAGTATTTCAAACTGGTTTCGGACCAATTTCAGATTCCTCAGGCAAGCTTCCGGGTGTTGCTTCTCCCCAAAATTTTCGAATTTCCTCAAAGCATTATTCAAACGCCTTACAGCCTTCTGACACTCGCGAAGACCTTCTTTAACTCGATTCTCATCATATGAGGATGTGTGTAAGCCGAGAAGAGTAGCTCTGTGCTTAACCAGTTCAGCAAACAGTGATGTAATTCTTTGTAATACCAAAACAATTTGGTTAGCAATGATGTCACTAATTAATATTGTTCGCAAGAAAATTGAAAAGCTCAACCTCAAATTAACGTATTCATGAAACTGATCCAACTCTTTCCCAGCAAACATGAATAGGCGGTAAATAGGCGGGCCATCGCTGTCAGCAGCGGATTTGTATCGGCAGCGGCAAACTGATATCGGCTTGATGTTAAAATGACATAGGTTGTGCCGTCACGGCATGATGTACGCCTATGTATTATGTTTTTTTTCTGCCATCCCCTAATTGACCGTTATAGATAAGTCACAATCGAGCCGCTGTCGATTCGAAGCTGGAGACAAACTCCATTATATAAATAATCTCATAGCGTAGTATCACAATAACAATATATCTCCAGAATACTTTCATACTTTTTTATGGTCGATCCCAGCAAACTATCGTCCGACATCAAGAATGATTATGTTATATAACAATAATTATACTCGTTATTGTCTACCAATCCATTTTTGTGGAAATGATTTTGAGCTGAATATTTGTTCATTACCCTATCTAATAACAATGATGCTCCAATGCGAAGTTCAGCTCTTCACCTACACAGGGTGGGGCATTAGTGCGTCGGAGCTCGATTGCTCGAGTTCTATGATAGCTAGAAACCTGATTCAAAAACGAATGTGAATGAGATAACAAGGTCCATAACTAGAAATTATTGCCGCATATACAGGGCGCACCGAAAATAATCTAGAGGGTCGGGATCAATTTTTTTAATGGGAATGCCCAGTATATCTGCATATTTTTTGAAGCATTCCTGTGATCTTTATCCACTCCTATAATATCGTTGACTATATCTCTTCCGTATCAAAGTTATGAATTTTTTGGTCGAAATAATGTCATCTGCAGATGCCTACCGAAAATATCACTGTTGTCACAATTATAAACTTTAAGAGAAAATAATCTCAATATTCATTGAAAAGATGAGTGACATTTCTCAAAATGTTCGAGGCTCTCAAATGATACAGGGTGGCTGAAAATGATTCGTCAATTCGGAACTTTTCGAAGTGATTTTTCTCGAGTTTTTTCAAATGGCACACCCCATATATTATTTGGCCATTTGATGTAAAATCAAAACACGAACATATTTATTCGAACATCCATATCGATATTCGCAACCATTTTTGAATTTTTGAACTTTGAAAATTTTAGGTTGGTCATTTTCATCGATACACATTCTAATCTGTTATTGAAACATCAAAACTTCAATCAACAATTTAGTAAACCAAATTTTCATTGAAAGAATCGATGTCAGAACCAAAGCAGACATGAATAGGTCATAATTATGCTAAATATATACAAAGTAGAGACGGAAAAAATTCATTTCTCAATTATTCTGGTTTTGCTTTCAATGTGCCATGAATTCATGGGATACTTGAGAAATGCAAATTTTGTCTCTTTTTACTTTGTGAATAAATAGCATATGAACTTTTTCTGTTTGCTTCGATTCTGGTATCGATTCTTTCTTTGAAAAAATTGGTTCACTAAATTAATAATTGGACTTCTGATGTTTTAATGACAGATGAGAATCTGAATCAATCAAAATCGTCAACCTATAATTTTCAAAATTCAATAATTCAAAAATAGTTATGAATATCGATATGGATGTTCAGATAAATATGTTAGTGTTTCGATTTTACATCAAATGGTCAAAAAATATATGGGGTGTTCATTTGAAAAATTCAATCCTGTTGACTGATGGATTCGTAATAGTATCTTTCGAGTTTCGCAGTAGCCTAGTGGTTGTAGCATTTAAAAATCCAGTACAATATTTTTATTTTTTTTTCTAAATCAATATTATTGATACACCCTGTATAATATCCAAATTACCACACTACTCTATTTTAATGATACTACCAGATCTTGCAGTATAAACATAACTCTAGTACTCATACCTTATTTTCTTAAATAACAGAATCCCAAGCAGATTTTCTCATTTATTTAGTTCAAAAATCAGTCAGTTACAAACCTGTCGTGCACATTATTAGTATCTAATACAAAGAATCAACTTGCCCGTGGAATTGATCAATAGTAGCCTCTAGTAGTACCTTGAAAGGAATAGTTCTTAGTACTTCAGGGATTGCTTACAACTATCATTAGTAATACTCACCAAGTTAACCTGTTTCTTTCCTGCTAACTAATAGGCAGCCATATGATGTCAGGCGATGTTCCCATGGGATTCCAAAAAGTAACTTCCTAGTAGAGAATAATATACCATATAATTATGGTTTTGGTCTGGAAGAAAATAAACACCTATTGTTTACACTCAGAATATAGGTTAATTGAAATAATATTACCTTAATCATTATAGGGGTTCTTGGATGTCTCTTTGAGGTGTGGATCTAAATGCTTTCCAATTGGATAACAAATGCAGGGTATTTTTTTTGTAAATATTTGGAATTCAACCATTGCGATTTCTCGTTTATGTAATCTGACGTTATCGACATCGTATTGTCATTGTCACGTCAGTTCAACTTCAATAATTGTCATGTTGTCAATGTCTTGTGACGCAAACTGTCATAGGCATAGAGCACAAGACTTGAAGTCATCATACTTCAGTGTGGTCTCTGGGTTACTACGGTCAAGTGGGTTAACGGATGAAAAACGGCTCATCCTGATTGGTTGTCTGAAACAAGGTCAAGATTACGGACACTCTCTAGACACTGTGACTATCAAATTTTGAGAAATTTGAAGTCTGTCAAAATTGCGTGGATATCTGAGGATTCTATGGAGGGACGAGAGGTCACTTCCTGGTGGTTTCTGTTTAAGTGAGGAAGAAGGTGTGGTGCTCCTCTGGGTTTATCCAGGATTTGTGAAAGAATCCTTCGAGAATTTTTCCCATCCTACCTCCTGACTGCCAGAGAAAGGCGGCCGTCCTCCTGGCATCAGGATTTTTTGTATGACGACCTAAATCGTTCAGCTAGCCAAGCTGTTCGGTATACCTAACCCTTGTATAAAAGGTGAGCCCATTTTAAATTCAAAGCGTAGCCCCCTTGACAAACCAGAACTGGAATTTCATTCGTGACGTTTCTTGTAGGGT